GTAATATTACTTTATGTACAATATATACTTTGGATATTTCATGTTTTTTGCAATATGCTATTTTTTTATATTATTTGCAATCCTCCATTTTTCATAAAATCTACATTCTTATTAATACATGGATTTTAAAATATTTTTGCAAACATCATTAAAGAAATATTAGAACGTAAAAATAATTTGTTTTATTTATTATATGTTGTAATATTACTTTATGTACAATATATACTTTGGATATTTTATGCTATTTATAATATACTATTTTTTTATATTATTTGCAATTCTCAATTTTTCATAAAATCTATTCTTATTGATACATGGATTTTAAAATATTTTTGCAAACATCACTAAAGAAATAATAACGTAAAAATAATTTATTTTATTTATTATATATTATAATATACTCTCTTTTGGATATTTTATAGCTATCTTTGTATACTACTTGATTTGTGTATATATTTTTAGAATTTCCAACTTTGCATAGTTGAAACGATGACAAATTGTTGATACATAATATTGTTCTCATTCTTTCACGAAAAAATTACTCACGTGAGCTGTATAAAAAGAATCAAGTTATCTTTGTTTGGAAGCTAAAATTAGAAACGTGAAAAATATCGGAATCACGAAATGTTCATTTTTATGAGATTAAACATTTATTTTGTCAATACTAAGTTAGGTGGATGTATATATATAAAACTGAACTGAAATATCAATTTTTTTCTTTATCTCTCGCGACAGGAGATTCGCAAAATGAGAAATGCGGTCTACAGTTTGAGCAAATTATCGTAATCACAAAACAAATGTAGCAACTTCTTTAACGAAGATCAATGAAAGTAGAAGTATTTATTCGATGTATGAATCATTTTTGCAACACGCATTATATATATTGGACATTTGAAAAAATTATATAAAATTTAAATGGGGTGATTGAAAAATTTAAACTTTTGTTTAAAAGAATTTTATAAATTTTATAAATAGCAAAATTTAATAAAAATTTTTAATTAAAAAAGAAGAGAAGGTTTTGCAATACACATCGAGAGGAGCGAAAAATATCTAATCAACATCCTTTTCATGAAAAATCAACTTTCGTTATTTAGTATCGTTCGATCTCACAAGTGAATCTCTTTGCAACACATACATTACAATCGGGATGTGATTGAATGAAAAACACAGAGGTTCAATTTGTATTGTTTTATGAAGCTTTGTCGATATTAATAATAATTTTGTGTTCAGCCAATTATCCATATATAAACAAAATTATTATCCATATATAAACAAAATTTCTTACTCTAACTTGTCAATTTACTTTCACTTTAACTTAATGTAATTTATCAATTTATATCGATTGTATGGTAATAACTTATCATGGTGTTACAAATACCTCAATCTCTTAAAATTTCACAAAAATCAACATCCAAGTGGAAGAAATGTCATAGTGAAAATCCTCGGAGCAAAGTTTCATCCCATATTTATAATACGTACAGAAACTTTTAGAATAAATTTAGAATAGAATGATAGAAATGATAGAACTTTTTGAGAAGAATAGCAGAGAAAAAACGTTGGTTGAAAAATCGCCAATTCTCAACTGCGTTAAAATTACTTTTTCTTACTCGACGTTACAAACAACGAGTCCGTTTTCCCTCTCGAAACTCGAACAAAAGGAAAAGAAAAAAAAAAAAAGAAGAGGAAGAAAGAAAAGAAATATACAATAATCTTACAAGATCATCCACCATGATAACAATAATATTTGGCTGCTGCTGGCGCTTTGGCTGTTTCTGTCGCAATATAGCAAACAAGCAACCCGACAGAAGAATCACAAACACTACCCAAAAAAGTGTGCATTTCCACGTTCTAATCATTGTTCCACTCGAATCGTTTACGACGAGGAATCGTCTTCCGCGAAACCGCCGATCCATCCGCGAGATCGGTGTGAAAAATGAATATATATGCAGACGAAAGGGCTAAAGCAAAAACGGACGCACACTGTGAAATATGTGCAAAAAAAAAAAAAAAAAAAAAAAAAAAAAAAAAAAAAAAAAAAGAAGAAGAAGAAAAAGAGAACAACTGGCGCGTTGTTACGCGAAAAAAACGTTGCAAGTGAATCGCAATTTAGGAACGTTGTCCGAGGTGAGAAATCGTTCAACTACGATTTACCATGGGGCATGCTACTATATAACAACGCCGGGCGGAGAAAGTACATATTTTACGGGATGCTACACTCGAACTATGATCGGCAGACCGGTGGGTACGATCATTTAACGACAGATAAACTGTATCGCGACTATCGAAAAAACACGTGGCTCGCATCTGAAGGAAACGTCGTTTCTCGTTTCCATCGTCGATTGTAAATTATTCGGTATATAATTATTCTGATAACATATTCTAATTCTTCGTGCCCTCTGTCTGCGTCGTGCCCACGTGTCATGGACTTCTGTGACTGGATTAGTCGTTACAATCGTATCGTTCAGTGAACAGATGATCGTTAGACAAACGGAGCATTAATAAGCAGAGATATTTCGATCCTTTTGACACTTTTCGTGTACAATGCGCAAATATTACTTGCCGTTGTCGAACTTGCTCGTTTGAAATGAAATAACCAATGGGAAATATGTTTTTCGAACGTTTTTCGTCGTTTTTATTGTTGACAGGCTGCAATGATTTTGTATGAAAATTAATAATACAGGTGTAATACATTTGGATATTATATTAATATAATAATTATATATAATATAATTTATATATAATTATTATATTAATATTAATATTATATACTTATTATATTTATATTAATTATTATATTAAATTTATTTATATATAATTATTATATACAAATTTATTTATATATAATAATTATATATAATGTATAATATAATTTGTATAATTAATATAATTATATATAATATATAACATAATTAATATAAATTAATATTAATAAAATTTTAAAAATAGCCAAGTTATGCGTATATAACAATTTTGTTACGCAAATGTATGAAATGTATGAATAATTGTTGTATGTGTTGAGCTACAAGAAAAGTATGCTTGTATAACAGATACTTGTACAACGCATATTATGTGTATTCGTTATGTATACGTGTATACGTCGGTAATGCTACTGTAAAGTAGTTTTTTTTTTTTAATATAATAATCGACATGAAGATGAAAATTTAAACAATGTTTATCCATGGTTCGCTTTGACGATATAATCTATACTTTCATAGTAAAAAGAATGCAACGCAAGCACCAATTGTATTATACTTGGTTTCATTTAAATTGATTTATACAAATATTATTGAACATTATTATTATTTTCAGTTACTAAATTCTAGATAATTTTACACGTTCACTTACAAAATTGGACAATTTCAATATGCAATAATTTAGTAGCAAAGTTCAAAAATGGGAAAGGAGGTAATATACCAAATATCTTATATTCGATAACTTTATTGTATATTTATTCGTCATTTGCTTCATTTATGTCTCCAAACATCGGATGTAAATAATTATGCGCATATTTTAAAATGTAATAATGTGTTCGTGTATATAAACGTAATTATTGGTTATTATGTATACATATAAATTATAATTGCACGTTTAAAATGCTCAGCTATGTATGTACATTACATTACAATGGAAAAATGAATTTTACATTATTTTTGAAAACGAACATACAAAATAAATTTCGTGGATATCTAGCTTCTGTTAGATTTGTAATTTCGTTGAAATTTAAACTTAAAAGAAGTATTTTACGTACATCTATGGAATTTGAAGTTAATTATATCATAAAGTAATTAATCTTATAATTGTTGCATATGTACTGTTCAATTTATTTCGCGTTTATTTGTGCTAATCTTTCGATTTGAAAAAAACTGGTTGATTTCTGCTTCTGTTTACATATTATTTTATATAAAAACTAAAGAGAAAACATGATACATTGTAATACTCTTTATTGCTCTATATATCAAACCAAAAAAAATCGATAATATTTTTGAAATATTCGTATAAATATTATTTAAGGTCCAAAAATTTTAGAACAATTAAAATCTCTTCCAGTTTCTTTAATTCGATGAATCTCGTATGCATGGTTCATCGAATTTTGTCAAAAATAAAATAAAATAGAATCTAAAATCTAAAATAAAAAATAATTTACGTAGAAAGAAGAATCAATCGAATTTTGTCAAAAATAAAATAAAATAGAATCTAAAATCTAAAATAAAAAATAATTTACGTAGAAAGAAGAACCAAAAAATTCCTACAGAAAGCAATCAAACTTTCAAAACCATACGTGCTAAAAAAAAAAAAAAAAAACAAAAAAACGCGCAATATACATTTTCTTTTACATTCATGACAATTGTAAGATAATTCTTTAAAAAAACCATAAAATATAACAATGAAAAGTTCAAGAAATCTTTCAAGCGTGATATGAATAGTTTGCAGATAGTGTAAAACTCATATTAAACACGTATATATCGTCAATCGAATTATTAGAAAGTGCGAGTATGTATTACTTACAATTAGTAAATAATAATAATACGTGTTAAAAACGTGCTACGAAACGACTTGAATTATGGCAGGTAATGAGTATATCTCGCTAGAAGGCTCACCCCCGACGCATCTAAATTACTTATTCGTTTGAATTACGAAGCAAGGTCGGCGAAATCGTTAATTATGATACCAAGTCATTTATCTCAATTTCTGTCTCGTTAATCACATTTATCGCCATGATTCACCAATTAAGCCGAAGCATTGCCAGCCATATTTTTACATTTTCCTTCGATGAAATCTTCTTCCCGGCTATAAAATGTTAGTCGTACTTGTTTAGCAACAATTATCGAAAAAGAGAAATGAGAGCCAATCTCCTCGAGCTTAGTATCTTTTCGTATGCGGGTATATATATTCTTCGTTAAATCAAATGAATTAAATTCTTCTTAAATTATTACATTCACCTTGATACGAAATTGTGACATTGTGACGAAGTGTCTTGTTTCAATCTCATAAACATAGTTATCTTCAGACGTTTCAAACAAAAAAACCTTGTCCAATTTATAATGAAGTAAGAATTTAAGATTGGAATTATGCCAATGTGTGTCAATATTCTATCAAACAAAAAAAGAAAATCGAAACTTCAAAAATATATAGTCGTTTGAGATGATTTCTCAATTATGTATTATATCTTCAATTCGTTTGAAGTAACATTTTCTTCAATAGGCTAGCTTCTGGAAGTAATTGTACTTGTAGAGCAAATTGAGACACCTTGCATATTAAAAAAAACATATTTATTTGTCCCAAGGGACGCAAAAATTTGACAATCCCAATTTCGCATAAATTTAATGCGTCAACGTAGATAATGTTACAAATTAACTGAAACGAATGAAAATAAAAGCACGAAAGCACATTGTACTATTGTTCAAAATTAATTTATTCTGCTGAAAATTCAATAATGAAAAGATGAAGATTTATGGAAATCGTAGAACAAATTGTTCGAGAATTTCACAGTTTTGCAAGGTGTATTTGTCTCGTCGTTTGATAGCCTCTACATCAGCCTCAATTATATTTCATAGAATCGTGTCGTTCGACTTTCAATCTGTTGGTGCCACAATAATGCTCGTTGCAGAATCATTGTCATGGTCAGATATAATTGTTCAACAATATCGAGACGAAGATGATGGAAATGTGGATGTAATAGATTAAATTGCCAAGCATGTCTGCAGCGTTTGAAACGTATATCACAGCCCCTGAATTTATCCACGGTTCCCACGTGTCGTTTCTCATCCTTGGATCTGCGAACCAATCGACCCGTGTTATCATCTGCCTCTCTAAAATATGGCCATAGTATTCCAAATAACGGTCCAAGTCTTTGGCTATCTGTGGACAAAAATTATTATAAAAATAAATAAATATATCCATGTTAGTAGATTATAAAAATATATAAATATAGATAAATAGATTAAAAAAAATAAATAAATATATTAATCCATGTTAGTAGATTATAAAAATATGGATTAATATATTAATTATATTTATATTTATTCATTTATAATATTTATATATTATGTATAATAATTAATATAATATAATATTATATTATATATTATACTGATATGATTATAATAACATAATAATAGTACTAATAGGCATTAATCAATGTATAATACATGTAATAGATAATAATGTAATTACTGTACATTAATATATTAATACATACATAATAATGCATTAATATCATGCATATACATATATAATATTATATATTATATATCTATATAATATATGTATAATATTAAAATATAATAATGGATATATAAAGTGTTTTTATTTTTTGATCATTTAGTTCGCAGAGATAATGTTATAGTTAATGATAAAATAATTGTTTTATTCATTAGAGATTTAAAGAGGATAACATACCACAGTATATTAAATAAATATCTCAAAGGTATATGTTTAAAGCGCTCTCAATTTATTATATTCTCCTCATTCAATTAAATTTTATTAAATTTTTTGGTAATTGGCACTCAAAGGATTTATAGATAAACCAAGAATTATTGATTTTTTCCAGCAAAAGAGATCAATTTCAATAAAAAAACTAAACAAATTCCAAGATCGTTACGTACCTAATACTGCAAGAGTGACTTATATCAATAACAGACCGCGGATCTTGCAATTTCAAATTTTTGTCAACACAATTTAAAAAATATAATTCAAGCAGAAATATATTTCCGTCGCGGAATTAAATAATAATAAAATTATTATATATAGAATATATAATATATATTATATATATAATAATAGAATATATAATAATAATCAATTATATATAGAAAATATTACGTACAATTTAACAACAAGAATTTTGTTTATAACATTTTGTTTGTAATATTTATAATATTTCATACATTTCTACAATTCACGCGAATGAATTCCACGTGTCGTAAACTTCTCATAAATATATAATCCCGTAATCTAATCAATAGATATGACATCTTCATGTCAATATTTTACGTGCTATGTAGTTATTTTGTGGCTTGACATTTCTTTGTAGCTAGTAATCAAGCATGATATGAAAAAAAATTCATGATATGTACATTCGTGAACAAGGTTGCACGAGTGTGTCATTCAAAATTGTCGAACTGTTGTAATTTCGTGAAAAAAAAAAAAAAAAAAAAAAAAAAAAAAAAAAAAAATCGTAGAACAACGAAGTCCGTTTTAAAGCATGAAATCTTTATTTGCTCCGTTCATTTGTTTCTGAGATATTTTCACACTATGTAACGAATGGAAATGTGAAAGTGCTTTCCTTTTCGGAATTGTGTGTAAAAGAAATTGAGAAATTTTTTTTACGATTGAATCTGCTACGGATTTAAAGATTGAGGGCTCTAACTTTTTACAATTGTTATTGATGTTTAATTTAATTTTTTATTGCTTCACATGTTATTAATCTTTCAAGAACAACGCCTGACATTGATGATTTGAACTCTTTGATAATATTCATTTGATTTCCATTAGATTGATAATGACGACTAGATAGGTTTAATAATAATTTTTTCGTAGATTTGAATAGTGCACAGAGTAGACATCCTCCTTAAAGAACACAATTAAATTATTTAAAATAATGTATAAAGAATATACATAATATATAAAAAAATATATATATAATATATAAAATAATATAAATAATATATGTCATATATAAAATAATATATAAATAATATATATCATAAGTAAAATAATTTATAAATAATATATGTCATATATAAAATAATATATAAATAATATATATCATAAGTAAAATAATTTATAAATAATATATATGTCATATATAAAATAATATATAAATAATATATATCATAAATAAAATAATTTATAAATAATATATGTCATATATAAAATAATATATAAATAATATATATCATAAATAAATAATTTATAAATAATATATAAAATAATATAAATAATATCATAAATAAAATAATATAAATAATATATATAATATATAAAATAATATAAATAATATATATCATATATAAAATAATATATATAATAATATAAATAATATATAAAATATTTAACAAAACAGCCAAAAAAAATCATACGTCAAATTTTTGGAGATAAGAGACACCATAAGCTTATTGAAAGTGACGAACATATTCAGCAGAGTGTAATTCGCCAACTCCATTTTATCGTTTCCATCGTAAATGACCTCTGCAGTCGAAAAAGTAAAACGCACACGAAGAAGTGTCTTTTTTCTTTTTTTTAAATTTATTTTTGTATTTTATTATTACGATGTCTTAAATTTCGAAAATATTCCATAAATGATGTATTTTTTGTTTTTCGTTGGTTTGCTATATTCAAATCATCATTATCAGTAAACTGTGACAAATTAGCATGAAACTATAAACTGTATTATGTACTCAGACATGTTGGCACAGATAATGCTAATATCTTTTTAATTCGCTATCATTTACTCCTATCAATTACATCGTCTTGCACAATTGGGACAATGTCATTAATGACGAGAAGCGGCGAGATACAAATTGCTAATATTAACACTAGAATTACCGACAAATAAGGTATTATATATAAAAATTGTGTCAGAGAAATTGAAGAACGAAGGATGAGCAAAAGAATTTGTAATATAATAAAAGCGTTTGTTCATATATTTTACAAAAAAAAATCGCTCAAATTTGTAAATATGAAGTATTACGAAAATTGATCACTCTGATCAAATGTTGCAAAAATATAAAATATAATAAATATAAAATAGATGAAATAGGTATAAATATAAAATTAAAATGAACGAATAAATATAAAAAAAATATTCGTAAAAATATAAAATTGCAGTCTACTATAATTATATTTCTTTATGTGTATATATATATATATTTTTTTTTTGTACTATTTATAAATACCAATTTAGTACTCCACTGCTAGATATATCTAAATACTGATACTGTAAACAAATATCAAACAAAGTTACAAAAATATAAGTTGTTTTTTCACAAATATTTCATTAATATCAAACAAAATCATAAAAGTATATTGAAAAATATATAAAAAAACATATTAAATAAGCTGTAATTTCACAAAATTTTTGATTCAAAAGTTAATTTTTTATTGATTTATAAAATGTAACAGTGCTAGCCTCCAATTTTTCCAAACAAAAACTACAATACAAAATAGATGTCCTTTGTTAATTATTCACGTTACAAAATGAAAACTATATTTGTTCAACATCAACTGGGACGTTCAATAAACATAGACAAAGATTTTATTTCATTGTTACAAGTAGCTTAATATCTAACTCTTAACACGTTCGTGCGCAAGATCATATCAACATTATCTTTTAAATTATTTCTCGTTAAATGCTAATTTCAGCATGAAACAATGACGCTAATCATTAAATCATTATTAAATCAATCATTAAAACATCATTAAACGCAATTGAGCATACACTTTGAAAATAAATACAAATAATAAATAAATACATTTCGAAATGATATCAAACAAAACAAAATGTTTTTTTTTTTTTAATTACCGGGAGTAAAATTGTAAAAAAGTTGTCCCGCAATGGAAAAATGTTAACCAGTTGAGATAAAAATAATCGCGTCACTTACCCTGACGTACACTTCTGCGACGTTCTTCGTTTCGCATGGATCGTTCACTATGTCGAATAAACATTCGGTAACGTTGCAAGACGTGAGCAGGCGTTTATCAGAGTACGTGAGGTTTGTATCACATTGGACCGTTCCATCTCGTCGTAATTGCAACATTGTACTCGGTTGTGTCACTGGACCACCAAGATGATAAGTGATGCTTTGAGAAACAGTACTGTTCAACACGACTTCCGTGTAGGGTGGTGTCTCTAATGTTCTTCCGGAGTCACCATAGTACCCATCGTAAAAACCATTTTCACCTTAAACCATTTTTTTTTTTTTTTTGTACGAAAATTTCCAGTAATGAATATTGGTATTGATCCTTTGTATAATGTTTTCTGTGTATTATTAACTATTGCATAAAGAATATATATATATATATATTTTTATATTATATATTTATTTATTTCTTCACAAAAGCTATTACGTATTCTTCTTGTATATACTATTATGTATTATGTATTCTATGTAAAATTACAACTATACACAATTAATATGTTACATCAGTAATGTATAATATATGTAACATGTTACACATAATTGATATGTTGTATTATACACAATATGTAACACATATTAATAATGTGTGACATATGTAACGTAACATATTAATTATGTAGCATATATTTTCTTTATATTCCACAAATATAAAATGCATAATATTTTTTGCATAATATCAATTGTCTATGTTTGTATTTCCTTGTAGTAAACTGTACTGTGACTTATTCCCTACAAAATTATTTATTTATTGTAGCTAACAAGAGAAGATTTTCAACTTGGAAGTTCAGAAAATTATGAAATTTTGGAGATACGTAAAGCATATATATGATTATTATATTAATGTAAATAGTATAAATAATTAAATACAATTATTTACAATTCCCTTCTAATTATATAAATAACTGATAAGTACCATACAACAGTAAAATTATCCTAATTGAAAGATTCTATTTCTCTCACAAAGTAGCTGAATTTTCAAGGATCAATTTCATCCCCTTAACCCTTAAATGCACACCGTTTTATATTTGCAATGTCCTGAATATATCATCAATTCTAAATCTATGACTTCAAAAAAAAAAAAAAAAAAAATCGTCCGTTTAAAGGTTAAACTGAATTTCGGTAGAAAAAGTGATTGCTCTACTTAAATGTACTTTTCATTCTACAGTCTGATATAGTAGTTACCTCTCAACAATTTGAATCGGCTATATATCGCCCCCTCAGTTTTGGAAACTTCGTTGATATTCAACAAAAGCTTCTCTCTCCCACGTCCGTATCCTTCGCTAAGTACGCGCCATTGATCGATGCCGTCGATCTCGCCTAGATCCTTCAGATCTCCACCAGCTGCAGAGTAAAGGGTTGGCAGCCAATCTGTTATGTGCACCAATTCGTTGGACACTCTGGCTGCCTTTTGCAATCTAGACGACCACAATGCCGCTACTCCTCTCACACCACCTTCGTGTAACGTGTACTTTGTCTGTAATAATAATATTAATAATGACAATAATAATTAACTTCATTAACCATAACTATTAACAATAATTAATATTAATTATTGCTCGTTTACATTTATATATTTTATATAAATTATCAATTATTATACATATTTCATATATTTATATATACAATATTATTATATATATTTATAATTATTAATATAACTATATAATTGTAATATTTAAAATTATTATAAATGTTATAATCATTTATAATATTATATATTAATTTGTTATTATATATATATAATATATAATATATTAATATAATAATGTTAATAATATATAATATAAATAAATTTATATAATAATATATAAATTATATATATAATATATAATATATTAATATAATAATATTAATAATATATAATATAAATAAATTTATATAATATATTAATATAATAATATTAATAATAT